GACAGGAAGGAAGTAATTTGATTCTATCTACTTTTATACATATTATCTCACTTAATCCATAACAAGGGCTCTATTGGAAGGAAGCAGTATTATATTACCATCTTATAAATGAGTAAACAGGCTCAAGAAAGTAAACCAACATGCTCAAGGTCAGACACTCGGTAAGCAGCAGGATATATTAAATTCTAGAGTGCTTATCTACTCTACCACACTACACTGGTATTGCCAAAACTGTTTGCTCAGTCAATGTATCAAGTTCAAATTTTTGGAAGAAATGCTCCCATAGGAAGCAAGATGAGAAAGATTTAAAGGTGGTTGGAAAAGGAGATCCTAAAACATTCTTTTGGAACTGATAGCAATAAGTAACAATTCCTTTGTTGTGAGAAAATCTCCCTTTTATGCCAAAAAAAAGTCATTTCCTTTAAAAAAATCATAAATGGTATTTTGGCAATAAAGTTCCATGAAGAGATTGACAAATGGCCCTTTGTAATTCCTGGGAATCTTATTTAAAAAGAGGATACAACTTAATATAATACATAATGCATCCACTAAAAACACTAGGCAAATTAATAAATTAATCCAGTCAAGTTGAAGGATACAAATTCGACATACAAAAATCAATTGTATTTCTATACACTAAAAACAAACTATTCAAAAAACAAATAAAAATTTCCCTTTTATAATAGTTACTAAAAAAAAAGCTAGGAATAAATTTAACCAAGGAGTTGAATTGTGTATACACTGAAAACCAAAACACCAAAGAAAGAAATTGAGCAAGAGAGAAATAAATGAAACAATATCCCATGTTTATGGATTGAAAGAATTAATATCATTAAAATGTCCATACTACCTAAAGTGATCTTCAATCTAATTTCTGTCCAATGATGTTTTTACAGAAATAAAAGGAAAAAGTGTTGGCAAGAATAGAGAGAAGAAAGAACACTTGTACTATTTGCTATTTAACCCTGAATGGCCAAAGCAGTCTTAATCCAAAATCAACAATGGAGACATAACTCTATCTTCAAAATCTACTACAAACCTATGGTAATCATGCCAGCATGGGATTTGCATAAAGACAGAACAAAGATACAGAATAGAGAATTCAGAAATTCATCTAGGCCTTATAGTCAATTGATATTTGATAAAGTTGCCAAGAACACACACTGGGGAAAGGAGAGTCTCTTTAATAAATGGTGTCTGGACAACTGGATATCTGTAGGCAGAAGAATGAAATTCGACCCTTATCTCATACTCTTCACAAAAATCAACTCACACCATACACAAAAGTTAGGACCTAAAATGTATGTCCTGAAACTATAAAAATACTAGAAGAAAACATTGAGAAATGCTTTACAACCTTGATCTGAACAATGATTTTTTGGATATGACCCCCAAAGCAAAGGCAAAAAAGCAAAAACATAAAACATGGGATTACCTCAAATGAAAAAGTTTTTATACTGCAAAAGAAACAATCAATATCTGGATGCTGTAGTGTACACCTGTAATCCCAGTGGCTCAGGTGGCTGAGGCAGGAGGATAGTGAGTTCAAAGCCAGCCTCAGCAAAAGTGAGGTGCTAAGCAACTGAGACCCTGTCTCTAAATAAAATATAAAATAGAGCTGGGGATATGGCTCAGTTGTCAAGTGCCTCGGAGGTCAATCCCTGGTCCCCCCCACAAAAAAAGAAACAATCACCAAAACCAGGCACAGTGGTGCACACCTAAATCCCAGTGACTCAGGAGACCTGGGACCCTTTATGAAAAAAATAAAAAAATAAAAAGGGCTAGGATGTGGTTCAGTGGCTAAATACCCCTGGGTTCAATCTCTGTACCAAAAAAATAAAATAAATAAAATAAAAATTGACAAGTGGTTTGAATATATACTTCTCAAAAGAAGATGAGTAAATGGCCAACAGGTATATGAAAAAATTCTCAATATCATGAGTTCATCAGGGAAATGCAATCAAAACTGCTATGAGTGTCATCTCAAGTCTTTTAGAATGGTTGCTATTATAGAAGAGACAAAAGATAAGTGTCAGCAGCAATGTATAGAAAAGAGAACTCTCATACTGTTGGTGAGGATGTAAAGTGGTCTAACTATTTAAAAACAATATGGGGGTTCCTCAAAAAAATTAAAAGTAGAACTATCATATGCTTCAACAATCCCACTCCTGGATATACATCTAAAGGAAAATGAAATCAGCTAATTGAAGAAACATCTGCATGCCCATGTTTATTACAGCATCATTTACACTGGCAGATATGTGATTCATCTAAGTGTCTATCAATAGATTAATAGATAAAGAAAATACATATACACATGGAATGCTGCTGATTATAGAGAAGAGATTCTTTCTAATGAAATTTAGTAATGTGGAATTGGCTTAAGAATTAGATACACTGCCTTTTAAATTTATAAAGGGTATCTGATTAATAAAAAATATATAATGCAGAAGAGACTAAATTTTGAATTACATTAAAAGCCAAATTACATACTATTATATAATTTTTAATAATGAATTGTGGAAAATTATAAATTAAAGGCTAATCAAAGGCTAATTTTCATGAGGAAAATTGGAGAAGAAAAAGTTATTTCATGACAAATCATTGGAAAAAGGTATTTTTCTTCTATATTTTCTGAAATTATCTGGCTCTTTTCCAAACATGTAAATTCACTTTAATTTTATATAATTTATCTTAAAATAAGGTTACATTTATTTGATTCCTGATGTTTTCTAGTGAACTCTTAAGAGAAAATAATAAAATACTGAAGCAACATAGAATACTGAAAAGAGTTCTGGGCTGGAAGAAAAGAGATGTGATCCAGTTCTGGTTTACCATGGGTGTAAATTTAGGTGTCATTTAACTTCCCCAAAGCTAAGTTTTCTGGTGGGTAAAACTGATGTCAGCATCTGCTCTTCTCAAACAATTGCTTTGTGCAAAATTTCTTATCCACCCAGCACTTGCTCGAGCTCACTGGTCTCTTCTTATGGAGATATGAATACAAATACAGAAACCCAATGCAAATAGAAATTTGGGATGAAGTTCTGGAATACTTCTGGAAGAAGAAATCAAAGAACAAACAGGAGTTACTGAAGAGAATGCAAGAAAAAAAGGAGAGCATTCCAGGCAGAGAACACTGTGCTTTAGTAAGCCACTGAGCCTGTGAGAAGGAATGTGGGAGGGCATGAAGTCATTCACTGGCTGAAACAGGGCAACATTAAAGGTGAGGCTGCAAAAGTAGGCAGAATCCAGATACTAGATAGTACCCATAGGTACTATGCTATGCATTTTTGCATTTTAACTTCAGAGCAGTGAGTAGTGGTGAGGAACTATGAAAGATTATGAAAAGTGGAATTATGACTTCAAAAACTCATTCTGAAGGCAACATACATGATGGATCAGAGGCTGGAAAACTACTCAGAGTCCATGGTATTAGCTCAGGTGAGAAAATGGGAAGGCCTAACTACGTAAGACAGAGACAGCAAGGATGGAGAAGAAAAAAAAAATCCTGAGAAGTGGAATAGAGGCAAACCAGGCAAAGTTTAGTGTTTGGTTTAAGAGAAGGCAATATCAGAGCAAAGGTTTCTGACTTGCCTGGATAGATGATGCACTTCTTATCTAAAAGAGCTAGATAAGTTCAATTTTAAATATGTTGAGCTCATTGGGCCTATAGGGTATCCAAGTAGTGATGCACAGAAGACAACTAGATAGATGAAATGTATTTGAAAGTGCTATGAACTATTTAAAAAGGTATAATATTATTTGAGTTCAATTCTAGATGAACCCTTGCAAGGCCATTGGGGAAATTACTATGGTATAAATGATCTATTCAACATACTCTAAGGACTTCCAAGAGTAAAGACATATCTCATTTCTTTTCTGAATTTGCTTACTTAACAGAAATTATTTAATTCCTACAATATAATTCCTGTTGTGAGCTATCTCTAATGGTTTGTAGCTTCTTGTCCATGTCCATGTGGTTGGCATCTGGACTAGATTAAAAAGAGCTACCATGCATTTAGGCACAGAGGACAGAATTCTGCAACCCTTCTTCCATTCCAGCCTCACTGCCTATCACATTTTCCTATATGCATTTTTACTTTCAGCTGCCATGGGGTCATCAAGTCTTAGCTTAAATCAAATGTCCTCTGGCTCCAAGTCCCATGATGAAAAAAAATTTATGGAGTCCTGGACACATTACAAGTTTTACAGCTTTACAGCTGAAATCCTTCAGGTCCTCCTGACCTACTGAAGCAAAAAATATGTTTTATTTTATTGTGATTCCCAAACGTTCTCCCAGTGTGTGCATTTTTCCAACAGAATGTGTATGTTGCTTCCAGCAATGTGTTTTATATTACCTTGAAGAGTAGGGAAGCTCTGATAGAAGGAAACAAGTTAGTCTTATTGCCAGGAAAAGAGAAAACAGAACTTGCCATTGCAAGCATGATTAGTGGACCAAACCTATGTCTGGGATAATCTGTTTGTATTTTACTTTTACTGAGGATACTGTATGAGGCAATGACTCTATCCTAATTGTTTAGAAAGTTTATATCCCCCGACCAATGATACCCTGGATTCTTAGGTGGGGTCATTTTAAATCAATAACATATATTTATATATATATTGTTGATATATATCAATATATATATACATATATATATATAACAATATATATAAATATATGTTTATAAATACATACATACACACATATACATAGTGACATATACACACATATATGCGTGAGTGTATGTGTATGTATATTGTGTATGTATGTATATATGTATGTGCATGTATATACAAATAAAGGTATTCCTAAAAATAATATATTCTTATTAAGTCTAAGATGTAGCCTGCTCAATAACTTTGAATTAAATATTTCCTGGATAATAAATTGCCTTTTCAAATATATATCAAAACTTAATGTGTAATCTCTCTTTGGGAGATAGTAAGTACCATCAGTTTGGATGTAGCTTGAAAATAAGATACCTAAGTGGGCTCACCTTGACGATGAAATCTGCTGTCAGTGGTCCAGCCATTCTCAGAATCTCTTTGTCTGGAAATTTCTGGAAGTCCACAGTAGAATTGTCCACGAGAAATGTGCCTGTAGAGCTGAGGCTGTTTTCACCTTTAGCCCCTTGGAGGGTTTTGGTTTCCAAATCTGTGTAATCAGACACATGAAGAGGAGAGAGAGATGTTCCCGGGGCTACCACAGACCACATGTAAACACAGTTCATGTAACAAAGTTTTGAGCTATGGAAATTGTGATAGAAATAAAATATAGAGGCATTTCTGGATCACATAGGAATTTATGCTACAAATAAAATTATTTTAAAACTCATTAGCCAAGCATTCAAGGCTCCTGTCACAAAAAAAGTTTGATTTGCCCAGATGACCTCCTGTGGAAATACCAATCTACAGCAACCCTTTTTCTTTGATTAAACCGTCTCCCATACACATCTTAGTGATTTCTGTTTGGATGGCCCTCAGCTTGGGCTATCCTTCACTTTTCTTTTTTGTCCTATGAGATCCCAGGTGCATCTCAGAGTTGCCTCAGCATCCATGAGGCTTTATATTTAGGCATTAACTTGAGTTTTTAAATTTTTTTTTCTGGTTGCTAATTCATATATGCTATTGCTCAAGGTGAAGAAACTATAGTGACCAGGTGCAGTGGCACACACCTGTAATCCCAGCAGCTCTGGAGGCTGAGGCAGGAGGATCATAAGTTCAAAGCCAGCTTTCGCAATTTAGTGAGACCCCAAGCAACTTAGCAAGACCCTGTGTCAAAAATTTAAATAAATAAATAAATAAAAAGGGCTGGGGATGTGTTTCAGTCGTTAAGCAGGTTCAATCCCTGGTACCAAAAACCAAAACTGTAGTGGCTTAAAGACAGGGGCTATTCTTTTTCACCTTTTATCTTTAAAAAAAATCAATTTTGATAACTAATTCAATGTTATACACATGTGTAGTATTTTATAAGTACTTGATACAAAAAGAAAACTTGCTTCCTGCAGCATTTAAATCTGAATTTTGCCAATGATAGAGTCTATGAAACATCATTTGTTGCAGGAAATCAGAGCATGCTGGGATGATATTGCTTATGATGTGTATGCCAGAGAAGACTATGTTCTCCTGTGACTGACAGGGGATCTATAGAAATTGTCTGGGAGACGAAGAAAAAATAGGATTAAGTCTAAGGGTTTCTAAAACTTGCACAAAACCTTTGGTCTTGGCAGTGCCTGTTCATCAGAAAGACAGAAGGCTTGTGTGGTGCTCCAGGCTTCCTACCACAGCTTCAGTTAGAAGGGCTCTATTATTATCTGTTTAATGATTGGGGTTGTGTGTTAAAAACAATTTTAAGGTCTCCGGAGGTACTCAAGCACCTAAAGTCTTTGGTACTTTCTTATTTGAGACTCAAGACTACCTCAAGTTCTCTACTCTAAGGAATAGGAAAGATGGAAAATGTTGGTATTCAACTAAATGCACAGTGACCGTCTGATGAAGTCTGTGGAGCCCTTCTCATGGGATAGGTCAGGCTTTACCATTCTGCCCCAGGATGGAGAGAACCCCACAGGACACAGGGCCCCACAGGAGGACCTCAAGGGGACGCTGGATTCGGGAATCATATTTATCATCAAAAGAGGAAAGCCGCAGTGCTGAATCTCCTTCCTCCAGCCTTTATTCCTCAAGCTGCCTTACGTGCAGTTGCAGAAATAGCTCCAGAACATGAATTAACATAGTTTTGGAAAAATCCTGGAGGTCTAGGCCTGGATCTGAACATCTGATTCAATTTTATGAAGAGGTCTCCCAGCTGTTGTTCTCGATGTACTTTTGATTAAAGATGAGCTGGGGCTGGACAAGATCACCTAGTCTTCTTCTGATCTAGCACTCAATATTTAAGTTAGTCCCATATTGAACCAGCTTCTGGGAATAAAGGGCAAAAGGGCTGCAGGAGAAACAGGGAATCACTTCCACATTCATTCTGCTGAAATACATGCCAAATGCAAAACAACAACAGCAACAAAACAAAACAAAACAAAACACCAGCTACATTTGCCAACAGTATGCATGTTGGGTGGAAAAAAAAACAGACCACATATTGCTTTTCAGCATTTATGAATACTATTTCAGTCTTTACCTATCACATCTGCAAATCAATTAAACCAAATAAGGACAATTCTTCAATTTCTTGGTGATTATGCAATCAGGAAACTTGGGAGACTAATATATTTATAAAAATTAATTTTTCTTTTAAATCTTTTTCTGCAATGAGGAGTCATTCCCCCACTTAATAGTAATCTCAGACTGAATATTTTATTTCTGTCTCTGTTACTGCTGACAAAAATACTCTTTCTGAGTGGGGTTGTTACACCATCAGTTAGCTCTGTCCAGTTCTCAAGGGGAAAAACAAATCATTTGATCAGTGATACTATACATGCATATATTAACTTTGTCATGTGAAAAGGGGAAAAACAAATGTGTCATGTGTCATGTGTCAAGGGGAAAAACAAATCATTTGATCAGTAATACTATACATGCATATATTAACTTTTTCATCTTAACTTTTATAAGATTGTTCAGAAATAGAAAATAATTTGGATCAATATAAGGTGACCTATCAGTGCTTTTTCATTTTGCCTAAACTGTACCTCACTTATTCTTTTGTTTCACAGGACCCTTCATATCCTATCTTTTTGATGAAAAATATTTATTTTTATTTTTGAAGACTAGAGTATGCTATATTAACTTTCACAGGTTCTGATTCTCTTCCTCTTGTTGATCTTTCTAGCATGATTTCATTATAATCTAATTACTAAAAAAATAATACTTGCTATTTAAATTGGTTTCATAGACGTGTGGGAGAGGAGAAGGAGAGAAGATAAGGGATGTCTTTGTGGGAATCCAGGAACAATTAGATTAGAGATTAGAGGGCTCAAGGGACCAAGTGAGGTGAAAGCCTTCAAATGAAATCAAATTTCTTAGAAAATGTTAGCATAATCTCTTCCACCTTCACCTTTATTTATAGCCTATAAGTTTCTGCTTGTAATTTACAGATGTACATCTAAAACGAACTAAGCAGTAATAAAAAAAATAATCTGACTGTGCATTGCTGCCCTGGCATGACTAGAGATCAATTTTTGCACAAACTTTGGAGGGCTAAAGCTATCACTTGATCCTTGGGTTTCTAATTACCTTCTAATCCTGAATTCTAATATATAAGGGCCCTGGTTTAATACATAGGAGATTTCAGTTTGTTTGATAGTTTTGTGTTTATCTGGATTGAGTAAGCAATGGAATATGAGATTGGGGGGGAAATGAAGGAGAGAAAGGAAGGGTTGGAAAGAGGAAGAAGAAAGGAGTGGTGAGATTTAAAAAAAAAAGATTGAGATGGATTAAAGAGAAAGAAGAGCATAAGCATGTGCCTAACCCCCACGAACATCTCATCAGGACCATCTATTTGCATTTTTCAGGATGACTGTGGCTATCAGTAATTACCATAGAGGTTTCTGCCATCTCATCAGGCAGCCAAAAGAGAGACAAAATATCATATTCTGAAAGAGTGGAGAGATTTGTACTCTTGTGTTTTAATACTTTCTGGAACAAAAATAAATAATAATGGCAAAACCTCCCAATCCCCAAAGGAAAACATTGGGTTTACTTACACAAGTGATCAGGTCCTTTTAGGACAAGGCGAATGTGTCTACTTCCGTAGGGAATGGCAACCACGGTGTCATCCACTAGAGAGAAACACAGCAAAATTTTTAAAGCACATAATTTGACACAAGACTATTAATTGTCTCTTGTACAAAGGCAGTGACTTAACATAACTTTTAAAAAACTGACAGTTTGTTTTTGTGTTTGAAAAGGGAAATACAGTGTTTGGGTATTAAAATGTCTACCTTCTTCAAAATAAAATATGCCAAAGAAGCCAGTCACTGGTTAACATAGTGGGGATTTGGCCTTATAAAGAAAATGTGAGTTTTGGTATGTTGACATTTTGATTTGAATATTTTCCTTTTTGATTTTGAAATCTGGCCTTGAACCATCAAGTTTCCCTGGATTACAGCATTTGTGTTGGATTTTAAAATATAAAGGAATTCTAATGTTTGAAGGATGAATTTATGAATGTATCACATTAGAATCTGGACTTCTCACTGGCAGTGTTCTGGGATGAGTAGGAAAGATAAAAGGAGGTGATAATATGATTATGTGCTTTAAACCCTTCAAGGACAGAAGTTATGCCTCTAGTTGTTCTACCTAGTTCTTCATATTGTAAGAACTCCATATATGGTGGTTAGCATTTTTTGATATATAACCCCCTCTCTTTTGAAATATATTTTTATAGTTGGCTGAATCCTAGATCATTTTATAGTAGATTAATTATTAGACTCTTTACCAATTGAGCCCAAATTATTATTAGAAGAGATCTTTTTAAAGACTAGAGGAACATTACAAGCTCCCCAATTATACCCCAATAATATATATTTATATATATGGCAATAATATATATTTACATAGCACTGCAGAATTGCACTTTCACTTAAATTATGCTGTTTACTTTCACCCACAACTTTGATGTAGCCAGAGATAATTCTAGGATGAAAAAGGCAGCCTCTGAGAAGCATAATGAAGTCCAAGGTCAAATGGATTGAAAGGTCCTTCAAAGGACAAGACAGACCCATTTTCAGGAACTCACCAGCACTTCAGAAGCTCTGTTGATTCTTGGTTCCTACAAATCTTTCCAATATTAGACATTATCACCCTCTCATGGGAATAATTTAGTTTAAATAAAAGAATCCCCAAAGTTACTCAGTTCCTCTAAACCTTAACATAATCATCTTAGTTTGGGGAAAACTTAAATAGTGAATCTTAGAATTTATCTAACTTTCCTGGTCCTTGGTGTCCTTGTTTATAAAACAAAGAATGCAACAATTACTTTATAATATTGTCACGAAAAGATATAAAGATGGATAGAGCTACATAGATGAAATGTCTGGAATACACTAGGTACACTAGATATTCTGTACATTTTAGTTTCTTCCCTCTCTTGCAAATCTATTTCAAAATAGGGACTGAAAGACTTTTAGAGTGTTTTTAAATACTCCAAGGCCCCTAGCACATGACCCACCGACTGAAGAAGGAGAATCAGATCTTAATTCCTGCCCTGAAGAGGTTACACTTATGAGTTCTCTGCAATATTGAATATTCTACTCACACTACACCCTTATAGCTGTTTTTAATGTCATGCATTGTTGAAGAAAAGGCTGAATTCCACAGAGCTAAGATTTTGTGGTATATAAAAACAAAAAAATGTAAGGGGGAATATAGACAAGGAACTCAAAAATATTCAGGCTGGCCCACAGAGCCTTCTATGCCTTGCATAAAGACCTGAATTTTTAAGTTTGCAAAAGAAATTCAAAGCAGTGAAAACAATGGGATTTCTAGAAATAGAAAGTCTTTGTTTATCCACAGGTCAAATAAAGTGCAAGTAAAAGGGAAGCTGTCTGTTTGGCCTGCAATGCTCACTGGCAGGCTTCTGACCCCCACACAACTCAGGCGGCCTCACTCTTGCTTTGCTGAGAAGGAACACATTCACACACTGAGGCATTGACCCTGGGCTTTTGGCTGTTGTGGTAACATTTGTATGATCCAGGAAGATGATGGGGTTAGGAACCTAGAAGTTTCTGTAGGGGGTGAGGAAGAGGGTAGGATGAAGAAAATAGACCAGAAAAAATCAGAATATCTTCTGTTGCCCTCTGCACTTGTCTAGTCAAAGAGAAAAATGGAGTAACTCAGGCTGGTGCAAACTTGAGCCAGTGGCAGTATGCAGCACAGAGGCAGGAAGACTCCCGGTCTATTCTTCTACTGAGAAAAAGTCTGATGGGCTCCTGGAAGGTCACTAGAAAATTAATAAATTCATTACTTTATTCTACAGATAGTTTTAAATTGTCTCTTAGTGTCATGCTCCAACTTAGGAACTAGGGACTCAAAGAAGACAAATCATCATCATCACCATCATCATCATCATCTCATCATCATCATCATCCACAAAACAAACAACAACAACAACAAAAACCAAACCAAACCAAAACAAAAAACCATCAGCCCACAAGGTCCCTGAAAAAGGAATCTAAGGAAAAACGTGGGAAAATCCTGTGTACTGATCATGGAAATTCCAAAAGCTCATTATTTGGTTTCTTAAGGAGTCCTGAACCTATTTCACTCTATTTAACCCAGAGTAAACCCAATAGGTTAATCTAGAGAATCTTTCTTATATATCAGCTGTTAATATCAGCTAATATATCTTTGAACATAGTTTAAAAAATGATGCTCTTAATTTAAGAAAAGCAAAATAGGGAAGAAAGTTAAATTTTTCATTTTTTTGTACGCTGACAAAAAACCTGCTCTTTTTGAGTTGTACTTATATTAAAATTGTCATATTTGCTGATAAATTCTTGGTAATTTGGGACAGTTTGGGGGATTCTTCTACTTGGCTTCTACTATAGTGTTGTACACCAAAAAGTGTTTAAGAGATCCGAGACTATTTGGGAGCCTGAGGCAGGAGGATGGCAAATTTGAGGCCAGCTTGAGGAACTTAGTGAGACCCTATCTAAAAATAAAACATAAAAATGCCTGGGGATGTAGCTCAGTGATAGAGAGAGAGATACCAGAATGGAAGTGCAATCTGGTGTCTTGTAACACACCTGCCTCCTGTGTGATTAATGTAGCAGTGTGGCTGGTGAGGTAGGTGGCCACATCTCTATTACAGTGCCCTTCATTCCTCTGATTACCCTTTCCTACAAAGGCGTGATTTTTTTTTTTTTTTTAGAGAGAGAGAGAAAATTTTAATATTTATTTATTATTTTTTAGTTCTCGGCAGACACAACATCTTTGTTGGTATGTGGTGCTGAGGATCGAACCTGGGCCGCACGCATGCCAGGCGACCGCGCTACCGCTTGAGCCACATCCCCAGCCCCCAAGGCGCGATGTTTCATGACCAGGTACACCTGCCAAATATCTCCTGGCTTTTCTGGCAGAACCATGGTGCCAGTCTATTAGATGTATTTTTTAAAATATGTCAATAATATTCAAAGACTAGCTTCAGAGATTAGATAACCTCTTTCTCAGTTAAATGGACAAGCTTTCTATGGGAATCACAAATTCTGTCATTTCACATATATGAATTGTAAATGTCCTTTCTCATGAAAATGATTACCAAGAATTTTACCTAAGATTTCCTCTAAAAAAACTATATTGACATGTATATTCTATACTTTTTTACATAGAACATTTTATATTAGTTTAAAAATTTTTCAATATGTGAATGTTCTGTGAGATTTATTGATGTATCAGAGAAAGGTGATAATGCTAAAATTTTTGAAAAGACAGGCCTTCCTATTCTGATATCTGAGTTTATCTTATTTTTAGATGTTAATAAATTCGTGTTTTTAAAGAATCTCCCCTCTCAACGTTGGGGCTAATCCTTAATTTCATTTTTTTAAATGAAAGGGCCATTGTTGCTAATACAATTGGCTACATAAAAATTTTTCTGCTGTAACTGAGAGGTTTTAATGATATATTTTAAATCTACATGCCAATTTTACTATCCCTGAAATATATCCAGTAGTCAGGTATAGTGGCACACACCTCTAACCAGCTACTTGGGAGTCTGAGGCTGTCCAGCTAGCTTGAACAACTTAGTGAAACCCTGCCTCAAAATAAAAATAAAAAGGTGTGCCTGTGTGGCTCAGTGGCAGAGTACCCCTGGGGTTCAATCCCTGGTACTACAAATATATATACACGTGTGTGTGTGTGTGTGTGTGTGTGTGTGTGTGTGTTTATTTATCAGTAATTGCATAACAGAGGATGTATGGGATAATGTATGCTGCACAGACCAAACAAGATGTTCTCTGCTTCCCTAACTGGAAAATTTCATCCTTTCAGATTCCTAGGCCAAAATCTTTTGTTCATCTTTATATTTAATAAGTTAGAAAATCCTATTGTCAAACTACCCCATTTCATTGATTCTGAGACGAACAACATTTCCTATTTTAACAAATATAAAATGAGAGTATCTCTCACACTGTAGTACCTTAAATTTCCTCTGACCCAGAGAGGAACTGGTCAGAGCTACCTGCCTACAGAGGCGCTAACATCAGAACATCTAGTATCAAACTTGTGAAATGGAGCAGCTCAGAAGAAATGTCAAAAACAACAGTAGAACACACTCATTTAGCTCTCAGGAATCAAATGATTGTGGTGGTTGCAGGGAGGTGAAGCATCAGAAGAGCTTAACCTTTTCATAGAGGGGGTCAAAAGGTGTTTAGAGCGACATAATTTCAAAGACAAGAGCAAAGCACCAGGACAGTCTGCCTCTGTGAAGTAACCAGGGCCAGATTTACCATTCTGCCCGAAACAACCAAAAAATCATGACAAAAATTATATGAAACCAAGGTTTTTAAGACACTGGACATCAGGCGAAAAGGGCAGAAATTCCTGAGATTCAGGGAATAAATGAGCTAAGTTCTAATATTGCCCTAGATTATTGCCTTGCAAGAACTTCCTGGCTGTGGCTTTGGAAATGGAAGTTCTATAGTAGAGGTTGGTAGATTCCATGACTTGAGACAAAACTAAAAGTCCAAGGAATCAAAGCATTAGAATTTATGGAATGAAGTACCAGACAGGAGAAAGTTTACAAGAGAGAACTAAGAGCTAAGATGGTCTCCTTGGTGTATCC